ATCTAGCTGAGAATCAACAAAGCCCACATGGAAGAAGCACACCAGCCTGTGTGATCACGAGGTGTTGACGGGATCAGGTAGCAGAAGACCATAAACAAACAATTATATCGATATAAAGGAGATGGGCCGAAATGGAGACCCAAAGCCCGTCTGTAGACAATTGGACATCCCCTCACAAAAGGGTCACACGGAAGGGATGATTCAGCCAGGGTGCAGTCTAGCATCAATGAAACACACAGCATTCTCCTAGTTCTTCCCTTCACTATCATGACCCAGTTCTACCTCACAAATCCTGCTAGACTGGAGTATGTACATTGGTACAGATAAGAGCCTTTGACACACAGAAGCCAGGACAGATAACCCCCTCAGAAACAGTAATTGGAATAATAATACCATTAGGGGAGGGGAGGAGTGGGGGGCAGGGGGAGCCACTAGCAATGATAGATGTATAACATTCCCCCCAGGGGGATGAACAACAGAAACATGGGTGAAGGGATACAGTGGATGGTGTAAGATATGAAAAACCAACCATATATATAATCTATCGGTGCATGAGTGCAGGAGGGAGGGGGAAAAGAGCTGATGATAAGGGCTCAAGTAGAAAGATAATGTTTTGAAAATGATTGCAACATATGTACAAGTTTGCTTGATATAATTGATTTATAGATTGTTCAAGTATCTGTAAGCACCCCAATAAAATGATTTAAATGAAAAAAAAAATAAAAGCAATTTAACTATGGAAGTATTTGGTATGTGAATACTATATAAAAACTACTAACAGAAAGAAACCACACTTGACCTATGGTTACCATGGGTCAAGGACGAAGAGTGTTTGCTCAGGGGGCATTGGGTTCATTTTAAAGGCAGTAGGACAATTTGGAGAGGGACAGCAGTAATGGTTGTACAACACGAAGAGTGTAATCAATGGCACTGAATTAAACACACACAAGTGGGATTGGAGACTGGTTGGGTATATTGTTGCCACAATTAGGAAAACTATAAGTACTTGACTGACAACGAGTACACAGGAAGAAGAAAATGTTCTAGAATTGAATGTGGTGATAATTGTACAACTCTTCTTGATAGGATTGAATTGTTGAATTGTATGACATGGGGATGAAGCATTAAAAAACTT